TCTTCTCAATTGCCACTCAATCACATTACAACATAGCAACCAAATAGAAGCTCTGTTCTGTTTGGGAGAAGGGTTGTTGATCACTATACAGTGGGGCTGCAATCTCTCCAGTTGCTGCCAAATAACATCTTGACCCTTCATAGTGGAAAAGTTGTATCCTGCCTTGAAATCCATAGGAGATGCAACTTTAACACCATTCTTTGAAAGGAACCAAGATAATCCACTGTTTCCATGAAGTAACTCAACAACATCAGGATGATCATCATTACAAAAGAAAAAGGACTGTTCTCCGAATTCGGCATCAACATACAGTTCGTGATCTTCACGCAAGTTCTCCGGATTCTCATCGTCTAATGCCGGAATGGAAACATCATGCCACTCATCGTGATCACGTCTAACCTTCGACTGATTCACGCGTACTACTGCCTTACCAGTATTGGCTTGGACCATAGCTCCTTCTTGTCCAAGTATTGTGGCACGAACCCAACGTCCTTTATCCTTGAACTTTGATGAATCCTGAGTCCAAACAAAAACCTTCTCTCCTTGGAAATAAGGACCGTCACTTGGCATAGTCCTTCTCGCAAGATCTGCTCGAAGGTCCTGAGCTTGTCGTGCTTCTTGATGAGCTCTCAAAGCCACACGTTGTAGTTCCAAATTTGTACGATCTTGTGCGGCTGCACTAGCTGACAATTGCTCAGGGCTTGCGGTCTCAAGGTCAAAAAGATCTGGTGGACGTCTTCCAGTTGCTATCTCTATTGGTGAATATCCACTGATAGTCAACTGACAATTTCTTGCCCAAACTACCTTCTTGACCACTTCTCTGACCGTAACACCACGAAAACGTGGGTCATCCAGATCTACCTTCATAACATGCCACATACGTTTGAACAAACGTACAGCTGTCTCTGCTCGGTTCGGCCAAGGAGTTCTTGGCCCACAAGGACATTGTTGTATACCATGGAACCTGTAGTATTCAACAAAAGCATCTGTGAAAAAGGCTTCGTCTCCTACGATGGCCTTCGGAACACAATTGTTCTCGTCCGACCATTGCCTCAATGCTTGGATGGTGGTTTGATCTATGAGGTCTTTCTGTGCCGTAGCCCAGAGAAGATTTGTGGCACCATCAAGAACAAGTAAAATGATATACTTGTTCTTGTGAAGTTCAACCTCACAATGATCAGCAAAAACAACATCACCAAAACATGAAGCTCTAATACCGGAGACTCTGGCTCGTGGCGGAGGTGCCACTGAAGTGTTACAAACACGGCAGTTCCTGACAACTGATTCATACTTCTCTAAAACAGAGTCAGGAAGCTTCAACATAGAAACACGTCTACGAAACTGAGTAGGACTCATATGGTAGTGCTTCACATGAAGCTTATAAAGCTCTACCTTGTCCTCCAGTCTCTGTAACATCTTCCTATATGCCGGTGTCATTGCAACAACTTCACTACCAGGTAATGGGATTGAAATCCGCCTAGGCTCAAGAGCGCCATCACCTGGTTCAAGTGGTTCATGTTTATCACTTGATGGTCCTTTTGATGCTTTAGGAATTTCTACAAGTTCACCTTCTGGCCTCTCAGGTGGTTCTGAGGGAGCATACTCCTCAAGATCATCACCCTTTAAATCATTCTGAGGCTCAGATGGTTTCGACTTGTGTCCTTTCCAAAATGGATCAAAACCCTTGGAAGTATACCGAAACTTCGGCGGCACGGGCTTTTCCGCGGCACTGGATGGTGCACCTTCCTTCTCTGACGAGAAGCCTGGTTCCCTGTCCTTTGCAATGGGAACCTTCTCTGAAGAGGAGCGCACCACTGCATCGGGATCACCAATGCCACGGTGCTCAATGCCAGCCTTCCTGATTTTTAGATCTGGAATTTTGGCATCTGGCTTAAATTTAAAAATTGTTCTACCACGCCATTCATAGCCAAGTTGTAGGTCCTTCCATTTTGCCTTGCGCCAATCATCTGTCTTCTTGATTTCTTCTCCTCCTTTCTTCTTCTTGATGATTGTCAGTCGCAAGTCTTCCAGCAAGTCAGTGTCTACAGGACAGGACTTAGTTGCTGGGAAAAGAATTTTCCTGTAATCCTTGTGGTGACGTATCAGTTCTCTCTTGTGAACATCTACTTCCCAGAAATCAACCACAGGATATGCATGCTCAGCTTCACCTTCATCACTATTGTGTTCAACAGAAATGTGGCCATATTCATAGTGAGTGAGGTGAGAGTAAAAACTCTTCTCACGCTGAGTCTGCCAACGCACGTCAGACAGATACCATGCAATATCTTGGAAGTCCAACACAAGATGAGTACTGGCTGCAACCTTCAACTCCAAAAATTTGATACCAAGAGGCACCGATGTCAGATAAGCATGTCGAGGTGTCAGCCTGAGTTCAAAGCCTAAGTTCCTCATCTGTGGCAAGCTCATAAGCAAAGGGACTTCTCCTTCTTCCACTATGTCGAACTCTGTATGGTGGATCGTCCATGCACGATCATACATGTAAATCACCAGTTTCTGAGAGCAAGTAGCCTTCTGGGAATTGGCAAAGTAAAACTTGCTCTTGGTAGCCTCAAAAGAGTACCATAATCCACAGTCTGGGTGATTGTCGACATAGTTGCAAAAATGGTCGACTGCTCGCCTTGATCCCATAGCTCTAGTGCATCCAAAGTCCAGGATTGCAATAGTTGGCGGGAAGCGATTCTCAGTCAAAAATGAAATAGCCTGCATCTCCTTCACTTCTTCCTCAGCGCTCATAAGCGCAAAACCATCAGCGCTCATAAGCGCAAAGCCATCAGCGCTCATAAGCGCAAGGCCATCAGGAGCCCTTGTGAGCATCTCCTTTGACAAAGAGTACCTCACAGTGGCACTCATGTCATCGAAGATCATCTCACCATTGTTGACCATGCAGTCAGCTTCATCTTGGCATGAGGTCATCATGCCTGACAGCAAGTCCACCTCACTGCCATGGACTTCAGCTGCTGCTGTCACACAATGTGCTAAGAAAACTTGTTGACCTCCTGATGCTTGTGAAGTTCTTGAAGGTGCAGGGAAAGAACGTGGCTGTTGTTGATTTGCATAGTTTGCATCTTGTTTGCCATCTCCTTTATCTTTTCCTTTTCCTTTCTTGCCTTTTCTCTTGCCTTTTCCTTTTCCTTTGTGGGAAAACCATGCTTCTTCAAGCTGTTGCCAAAAGTCATTGGCATCATCATATTCTCCTTGAAGATAGTCATTCATATCCTCGGCAAGAATGGCATCATATGCTCCTTGGGTTGACTCCCAAGTGTCCTCATAAGGATTCTCTTCAAGGTATTCATCTGGAAAAGTTGTCTGTTGCTCATCAGCAAAATGGCCTTTACCTCGTCTCTTTCCTTTTCCTTTTCCACGAGGTCTGAAGAATCTGCGGCCTGACCTTCCTTTTCCTTTTCCTTTTCTTCTACCTTTTCCTTTGCCTTTTCTGGCTCTTCTTCCTTGGAATCTCCTTTGGAACCATGAGAAGTTTTGATCATCATATACCCAAAAGACATCGTCCAGGGCATCTAAAAATCCTTCAGTTCCATCTTCTTCATCTTCGGCCCAATAGCCAAATGTACCATCGAGTTCTCCTTCGTCTAGTACGAGAAATGATCTTCTACCTCCAGCACCTGTCGGCTGCATCAATGGATTGTCTACTGAAGTCTTTGTCGTGCAGAACATCTCGATGAACACTGTCCTCAACTCTGTTGTGGTGTATTGCTGCAGGGACCTGCCACGATGAGTCATCAATGAAGTCAAAGTGTTTCGCTGGTCCTGAGACAAATCTGCAAGTGACAGCATGAGTAAGGCAATGAGATTCTCTCCTAAAGGAAAATCATTCTGATGAAGAATTCTCATATTGCCATTGACATTCTGCATGATTTCCTGAATCCTTTCTGCCGTTGGTGCTACTCCAGTCAACGCTGCATCTGCCTGCATCTGAGCAAGGACTTGTGGATGTGCTTGAGTGACTGGTTCTAACATGTCCATCCAACTGCTCATAAGCCTTTGGAGTAAAATCTGGAATCTTGTCATCCATTTCATCATGTCGGCTGATCCTCGATTGAATCGCACGAATTGCATAAACCTGTATAGGAATACATTGGTTGATCCTTTCACGAAATATGGTCGTAGTACTCGTTTGAAGTAATCTACTCCTGCTCCTGGTGGCTCATTAGCCTTCAATGAATCTCTGTCTAATACACGTTTGTATACTGCTGCTTCTCCTTCTAATCTGTTTCTCAAAGCTGGTCCTCTCTTCTCATCTTCCAGCTCGGTGATATCACACCAATCGTCTATGGCATCCTCATAGGAAAACCATGAAGTCTTTCCATCATAAGATGGGGGCACCTTTGTAGTGACCTGTGTTGTCATTGCTATTGCTGCTGGTTCTCTTCTCACATGCCTATTCACGTAGGCTGCTGGCTCATAAGCCACATCCGCATCAGGCTCTTCCCAGTCGTCAATCCAATCCATGGCCGTTTGCCCACAAGCAATTCTATGCCTAGGAAAGGAGCTCACCTGGGTCTTCCAGGATCACTGCTCCGCTACCACTGAAAGAGTGACTAGGGCGTACACGGTAGAGGTGCAGACCGCTAGTGTCTTTTATGCGCAGAGTCTTATCCTCTTGCTCTTTAGGTCCATTGACCCTCTCTTGAGCCTTGAAGCAGTCAAGCATGGACACACTATATCAGCTGTTGGAGTGGAACCCTGTACAGGTAGGCTCTACTTTTCAGGGGGGGGGGGGGTT